CATATTTCAATCACTATTTGTCATGATTCTTCATATCCAAGGGAGGGGTCATGAGCAGCACGAGTCTTAATGGTAAGCGCAAATAATCATATTGGTTCTGCCCACAAAAAGGAAGAAATGATGAAATCAGCACAGGCAGAATAAGAGACCTTTTTTTTTTTTTGGTCTCTTCCTTTTAAGCAGTAAAAGGAAGAGAAAGATTTAGATCTATAGATATCCTTGCTTTAATACCATGGTAGAAGTATAATATCAAAAAGAAGGAAGAGAAAGGGATGAGAGGAAGAAGTGAGAGAAACGTTTGAGAGAGAAAAAAAGTTGGAGAGATGTGGCTGAAGGCAGTACCATTAGGGTTATATAGCCTCCACACCCTTCTCTATATTATTTAGAATGCCCTCATTTCCCCTATTTATTATACCAATGTTCTTAAGTATATGAAAAAGAACAAGAGTGCTGCATTGGCCCACAAAACAAGGCACATAAATAACTGATCTTCAACAGTAGAAATGCTGGGAACATAACCCAGCATCATCATCCCCTTGTTTTTTAGTCTGGTTGCATAGCACACACACTAACCCTCTGAAGGAAATTGTCAATAAAGATAGGAAGAACGCGGTTTGTTTTTATAAGAACTCATTGCCATGAGGCCAAGAGGGCAGTGATGTATATCGAGAATCACATTAGGTGTTTCTATGTATTTAGGACTTTTTGGAAACTCAAGGTCCTCAAAGTCGAGAAGATGAGTTTCGAGTACCACTATATAATGTTGAGGCAGCTTATGGAAGTGAGATCTTTCTCTTATATCCTTGGTGTTAAGTGATGAGAGGGAGGGTCTCAAATGAGGCCTGGAGATACAGAGCATGTTGATGTCTACAAAATCATTATGGATGAGGAATTATGGATCACTAATAAAAGAATCTTGTTAGTTACGAGCCAATATGGAATATGATGAAGTTTGTAGAAACTAACAATGTCGTGGCAGGGGGTCCATATAGCATATCGATACTATGCTGGGGGAAATAGCGTTGACCCTTTAGCATGATATTTTTTGTAAGAGAGAGTGCATAAATTAGTTGTTGATCGTCGGGACTAGATGCACAGTCATTGCAGTGTCTGGCATATGTTTTGAGTCTAAAGCATCTCTCTCGAGAATGGTTGGCTACACCTACTCCTATTAGGCTGCCGAGACTAAACCCCACCATGATAATGAAGTGTCTACGTATTCCCTTGCCAAGCTTCATGTGCTATGTCCAGATGAGAGGCAGAGGGGAATGCAACAAAAAATCAGGCATTTTGTAGGCAGTAAAAGTGTTTTTTCCCTTAAGTATCCATTACTGATAAAGGATTGATGATGGTTGTTTCTTAGTAAGATTTATATGGAATTGGGGTTTCTGTATTGTGTTCTCTTGCTGCTAAGGTGTTATCTCAAAGTGTCAACTCATCATGTGCAAAGAGATGTTGAAGCACTTACAACATCCACAATGTTAAAGTTGAAACAACTAAATATTGATCGATCCAAGTCATTGGTATACGTTCGCTACAATAATAGGTTGCTGAGCAGACTACGGTCAGATTATGAAGAGAACTATAAACATTGGAATGCTCATCCTGATGACGACCAGTTCAAGGATGATGCATAGGCTTTGGAGGTGTTAGAGGACTACCTCAATGTTGATGATGATGCATGTCTACATGCTCCACTATCGAGACCTATTGCTCCCCTTACACCTTCAACCAGCCAATGATTTAGTAAATAGCACCCCCTTCGGAAGCCATACAATCAAACATCGAGCCAGTCAGAATACGTCAACTTCAATTGTTGCACAAAGGCTCCAAGCTCTTCAAAAGGGCAAGAGGAAGACAAGATAGTATAATTCCTTTCCTCGTGTTTATCTCTCTCTCTCTC